GACCCCCTCCCTGAGGGCAGAGCCTGGGGCGGGGACCCTGAGGGGGCTCGCACCTGTCACCACCAGCTCCAGGGGGTCACTGCGCTCTGACAAGCCAGCGGGGCTTCGATAGGAACAGTGATACCGTCCTGCATGTCTATCTGTCATGTGTGTGATGGAGAACTTGGCCATGTTCCCAGGCTTCTTTGGGAAATGAACATCCCGAAGCCCTAATCTTCCCTCTTCATCCAGAAGGAACACTTGGGACTCCTGAGTCCCCTGACAGCAGATGGTCACAGGTGTCCCCCAGGGGACCACAAGGCCTGGCTCAGCCCAGATGGTGGGTTTGGGGAGGGTCCCTGGAAGGAAACAGGGCAAAATCACAAGACCTTCCCCACCCCCAGTTCTCAGCTCAGACCCAATCCCCCAGACGTCCCCTCTCCATCCGCCCAGAACTGCTGTTCTCCATTTGCAGCTGCCTGGTGGGTGACCCCTGTCTCCAGTGAGGAGGGGACATGCTCCTAGGGACCCCTAGGGACACACTTACCTGCCTGCCCTCGGGTCCTGGGGCCCACACTCAGCCCTGGAAGAGAGTTCCTGTGAGAGGATGGCCCCAAATCCTGAGCAGAACCCCTCCTCCCCATGAGCCTCCTGTGCCTGGGGTCTCTGAAACCCCAGGGCCTGGCTGTGACGCGGGTCCCTCCCAGACTAGGGCATCCCCTCCCCTCCTGAGATCTCACCGAGGAGAAGCAGGGCTGTGAGGGTGGGGGTCATGGCGTCTCCTGCCTCTGTCCCTGGTTGTGCAGATGGAGGGATCTCAGTGCCCGCAGGACAGACAGAAGCACAGGGTGTGGCCACTTGGGGGCTGGTCCGCCTGGTCATGGGGTTGTCACGTCAGCAGCCCCACAGGAAGGAGAACAGCCTGTCCCCAGGGGGTGGCTCTGGTGTCCATGAAGGTGCAGTAAGTGGACCCCGAGTTTTCCTGAGATGCCCTGTCTAGGTGAGGAGACCAGGGCACGTCCTTCCCTCCCAGAGACTCCCCTATGGGTTCTCCGTCATTCTCACCACATCCTGGGGGTGCCACCACACATGGGGTTCCCAGGCTCTGGAGATGCTGTAGGTGACGAGGGTTCTAGATCTTCTGTGGCCTCATGTCAGTGCAGACATACCTGTGGCATTTCTGCATGATTCAGGTCAAGGTCACCATGGCAATGAACACAGAGGAGAAATACAGGGAAATAGGGAAGGAAACACAGCCCTCTCCTGGCCTTAGAGTGTGGGCTTTCTTTCTGTCACAGCCTTCATGGACTTCTCTATTTTCCTGTGTCATCATCCACCTCCACTTCCTGGGAACATGCCCATGAGTCCCTCCTGTCTCTCAGTGCCCCTTGTGTCTGGGGCAGAGTCCTCCTTCCCATTCTGGGGCCCTGCATGCAAGATGTAGGGGACAATGCATGGGTGAGTGCCCTGATCTGGGGGACAAAGCTAATTCTAATGTAAATATTACTCCATCATCTGCTGCCCATGTGACCTTACCAGAGGGACCTGGTCTGTAGCACTTTGTCCTGAACCCCACTCCTCACAATGGGTGTGGGGTCAGGGGTACCCGGAACATGGCAGAATCAATCATTGTTAGTTTCCCAACCTGAATAAGAGAGGTGTGGTTGGGACAGGAGAGGACCAGGTGTTGGGCCCCACAGTCAGGTTGGACCAGGGATACACCCTCTCTAGAGAACCCATCTGCCTCTAACGTGGAGAAATGCTATTTATGATGTTTCTGACATAGCTGGCATCCGTCAACTGCAAGAAAGGGGAAACAAACGTTTCTAGAATTGACAGGACCACAAGAGAAAAAGAGGCTAAAGCCAAGTGACCACCAGTCCCTGGGATCCAGCTGGGGGTCATCCAATTTGATTTCTGCCTCTGTGTGGCCAGGAGGGGCAGCCAGGTGTTCACAGGCAGGAAGGGCATGTGCTTTCTGGGTGACTGTGGAAGCTTCATGACCTTCCACCATGTGTGGAGTGGGACCTGACATGTCTCTGCCCACTGATCCAGCCCAAGGTCAGCACTGAGCCATGTTCCCTCTGTCTGTGTGTAAAGTGCTTCCTTTCGTTGGAGCCCCACATGGGTGTCAGTGCATGTGTGAATGTGTGGCTCCTATGGGAGCCATCACTGCCCAAATTTCCCTCATCAGATGCTATGTTGGGAGAGTGGAGGCCACAGGACAAGGTTTCCATGACTATCCACCCCTTACAGCTTCAAGACAGCCCTGGGAGCAACTGTCTCTGGAAATAGGTGTGTGGAGGTGAGTGTACAATATGAATGGACGTCAGACTCTCTATAAGTCATTTATCATAGCTGAGATTATAGAACAGTAAGAATATAGGAAACTCATTATGTTATCCATGTTACACATCTGAAAGAGTAGAGAAGAAAACTGAAGTTTTGAAGCCATAACAGAGATTATATTATAGAAGATACATAAATTTAGAAATGCATTAGTGAATACGTTGGAGGTAAAAACCTATAGATCAGTTCTAGCTGTTTTTGGTGGAGACTTTCAGGTTTTCCATGAAGACTATCATGTCATCTGCAAAGTGCAGGATATAAAATCAATCTACAGAAATCAGCTGCATTTCTTTACACCAATAATGAAGCAGCAAAAAGAGATATCAAGGAATTGATCCCATTTAGAAATTGCACCAAAACCCTTAAGATATCTAGAAAGGAACCTAAGCAAAGACATAAAAAGATCTGTTTGCTTAACTATAGAAAGCTTATGAAAAAATTGAAGAGGAAACAAAGAAATAGAAAATTATTCCATGTTCATGGATTGGAAGAACAAATATTGTTAAAATGTTCATACTGCCCAAAGCAATCTACTCATTTAATGCAACCCTATCAAAATAATACCAGCATTCTTCACAGAGCTACAATAAAGAGTTCTAAAATTTGTGTGGAAACAGAAAAGACTGAATGGCCAAAGGAATGTTGAAAAAGAAAACCAAACCTGGAGGCATCACAATTCTGGACTTCAAGATGTATTACAAAGCTGTAATCATCAAGACAGTATGGTACTGGCACAAAAAAAACAGACACATAGATCAATGAAATGTAATGGAGAGCTCAGAAATGGACCCACAAGTATATGGCCAACTAATTTTGACAAAGCAGGGAAGAATATCCAATGGAAAAAGACAGTTTCTTCAGCAAATGGTGTTAGGACAACTGGACAGCGACGTACAGAAGAATGAACCTGGACCCTTTCTTACCCCATACACAAAAATAGATTGAAAATGGATGAAAGACTTAAATGTGAGACAGGAAACCATCAAAATTCTACAGG